CATCAACTGGCTTGAAGCGAATCAGTTACGTCAGACGCATGCGTGTAATATACAGGAAGTAAAAGTGGCATCTCAGGAAAATGGAGAGAAGTTATCAGGAACGTGTTGCTACTGTCGGGAAAGTTGTAATTATTCTGTCAACTAGTTTTGGCGATTTTACATGCGGTCGGGAGACGTAGAGAAATAAATGTAATTCTCTTCACGTTACGGGATTAACTGAGAAGAAGCCGACAGTGGGAGGAGGGTCCAACTGCACTCGCTCTGGTACCGGACCGGTTTTGGACAGACAGCGGGAACAGCTGATCAACACGTGAGGTAAATGTTCACTACGTCAGAGCTTATTCGACAAATGTGTTTCCATCTCTCCTTTTGCGCATTAACGCTTTTTCGAAAAAACCAAAAACCACCTCAAACGAGTGTATCAACTTTTATGCAAATTAGAGGAAGTTTTTTTTCGAATCAAGCCGTTTCCTTTCACCTTTTCTGATGCGATACTTCAAAATGCACATTAAAAAACGCTGATGGAAACACAGCTAGTAACTTTGTAGTTTGTTTAAACAATATTGAACCACAAAGCTCTGCCGGTGAGGAGAACCTGCTGCTCTCCATTAAAACACAGGGCAGCCCCCTCCTCACTGGAGGTTGAGGGAGAGTCAGGCTGTGGAGCTCAATGGGGCTAAAGTCTTATCAGATCGAGCTGCTGGTTCAGAGGGTTGACTCAGTGATACAGAAGTCTAATGTTGCTGAGGCATTGTGTGTTTATCTGTCTTTGTGTGATTGTATTAAAGTGATGTTCGCATGATTGCTAACATGCTAATGTAAAGCTGTAACAGACTTTCATGTTCAAACTGTTCCAACCCCTGCCTGCTGCACGGGCGTGTCTGAGAGAAATGCTTTTATACCAGAACACAGGAGCTGTGACGACACAAGGCACTGTTTTAACTAATATGAAAATTCAACTGCAGTACCACTGTTCAACTCACAGTGTGCAGCACTGAGACATTTTTAGATCAAATATTGCAGATTTTAACAAATTTACACACAAATGTCAACATTAGGGCTGTGTATTGGCAAGAATTTGGCGATACGATACATATCATGACAGAGGAGTCACGATACGATATATCCCGATATATTTCGAT